TATGAATTGCTACCATACTTACCTTGCCTTTGTGTGCTATATCTTACATGTTTACGCTCCCCTTCACCAGGATCGCCCTGCGTCATCTGTAACGAACGCCCACCGTCTGTTTTCCATCCCCATTGGCTGCTTTTACCTTGGAACCTGATCTGGCGTAGAACCGCCAGTGACGCTTTATTCGAGTCCTTTTTATTTACTGATTATTGCTGTTTAAGCAAGTTTTAATTTTACACGACCATTTTCCATTTACTTTCTAAACACAGAAAAACAATTGTTAGGTAAAATGCAATTATTCCTAAAAATTTTGCGTCCGGTGTCGTGCTGTAATCCTCTATCGCCACACATTTTCGTAAGACACATCCACTGGTTATCGTTTGTTGGGGCCGGTTCCATACCACATCTTTGCCCACCTATTTGATTTAGATAGGTTGATAAATACTATCAATAATTTTTCAGGCTCATTGCTGTTAACAGCATTTCCCTTCTTCCCTGTCTGATTGGCGTCCTGTCGACCGAAAAGGTCGCTATAAAACATTGTGCTTTCTTTATCTCTCCTGCTGCCAACATCATAAGTGACATCAAGCTGTGGAACATGAGCTCTGTTTTCGAAAATTTCAGGTAAGTGCACAATGGCGTTGAGGACCAGCACCACCTACTGCGCTAACTCCGTCGCCAATGTCGCAGACATTCGCCTAGGGCCGGTGGCCAAATTTGCCTACGAAATCGAATAAGTAGACAATACCGCAATATAGTCCAGTCAGGTGCTTGTTCTCCTGTCCAACCCGGTGGCGTTGTGTCCCCGTATTCAGAGACAATAACCTCACAAATTCTGAACTGCTGTGTTGGGAATCACACGTAAGGTGAAGAATAAGAGGCTAAGCTTACCTAGCACAGAGACGACATCCGCAAGGAGGCCACCCTTACAGAGTTTCTCAGCGGCAGCCAGGTGGACGTAACTGGGCGAACGGATTTTGCAACGGTATGGAATATTGCTACCGTCGGAGACTAGGTAGACACCCAGCTCACCCTTTGGAGCCTCGATGGCGGTGTAGGTGGCACCGGGAGGGACCTACCATAAAGAAAACAAGCGAAACGCACAATTACATGGAGGATACTGGACTGGATCTAAGCACTTATAACATTGAATTCAGTGTTACGCTAAGAATAGGAAAAAAGATAGCCCATTAAAGCAGTCCATTCAAAAATATATCGATAATTTCTGGCAGCCGCGTTACACAGTAACTAAATATCCTTCACTGTTTCCATCTGTCCGATGGGGTTTATCGTGCTCAGGGAAGGCTGTCAATTACATGTGAATCAATCTTTGTCGATTAAAAATCAGTGACTTTTCACTGACTACCTTTTTAACTGCTTCACAATGAAGTATACAATACGACTTCGTGCAGTGGACACGGAGACAAGATAAACACTAAAATGGCGCGCGTGAAAGAAAATGTAAGCCCGCCGGATGCTTCCCACCTAGGCAACTTTGAGGGCTCAAAAGCCTTCCTTGGAGCCAAACAAAGAATGAGAGGCGTAACTAATGAGTTCTATTGAGGAAAAGCGGGAGCTGCTCCCAAGGTAAACGTCATCTTTCGGAAAGACAGTGGATGTCGTCCTCAAACGCAAGTAGTAATTGAAAATGTCGGATCGCAAAACTAATCTAAGGGAAATTTTCTGCCACCAATGCCTTTAGAAACAGATGAGTTTCAGATGACTGTGGCTACCGTTAACTGCGTCAAGGGCAGGACTGAAGGCTTTCTAAGAAAACCAGTCTAAAATTGTGTTGGATAGCCGAACATGAAAGGCAGATTCAATCCGAATGCCAAATTACTCACATTAGTGCAGAGGAAAGCACCAATCGTTTACGAGACTCACTCGTCCCATTCTGCCTCAGAGCTCACTTTCGAGCTCCGCCAGCAGCCATACAGCTGCTATTAGAATAGGCAGGAGAGCATTACTGTCAAGTTGCAAACAGGTGGTCACAAACAGACTGGTGACAAGAGCTCCTCGAATTTTCACAGGCTGCTATCTTGTGGAATGGCCATACTTTCAAATTCTGAAGCGGTTCCGTTCCGCACTGAGGCAATATGATGATCGAGCAACCTAGACTAGAGGTATAGTTTTCGGATTGCAGCCTAATCCACCGATACATCGACCTGCTAACCGGCTTATCAGGTCTAGCTTAATCAATCCTAAGAGGACAGCAGTGGGCTTGAAGAAATAAACAAGACAGAACAAAAGCAACCCGACGAGGCCAGTAGGTCGGACAGCCACACCACCCAGTTTACTGAGAGTGCAAAGAGCAATCAAGAAACAAGGATTGAAAAAAACAGACTTGGAGGAAAGAACCACAACTCAAAACCCTGTTTGGGGTTGCAGTGTCCTCACAGCCATTGACAGCGAACATTATAGCGGCCGTCGGCGCTAAAAATACCCTTACCTAGGAGATTTTTTCTGCTCCAGGGATTAATGCCATCAGATGCTTACCCCTTTGTACCAAAGATGGAGTTAACATAACGATGTCATCCCCAAGTTCAGTGATACTGAATTGAAGGATGAGCTGCATGTTTGGTCATACGGTAGCCAAATTTGATCGAAAACCATTCAAACTGACCGGATAGTCATAGATGCAGAAGACGGACTAAATTAAAGGCAAGCATAGAATCGAACAAATTAATGAGAGAACATGTTAGACGGTAGCGCGGAATTAGTCCTGCTCGTTCGATAGGACATCAAGGAAAGCCGTAAAGTGCGTACCAATGACTCAAAATCTGGCTGAGACATTTTGTTAGTATTTGGCATCCATTGCCGGAAGAGAGCATGGGTTAGGCTCTCTAGATCTGCTGCGACAGATCTTCATAAGTGTGTAGGAACCAATTGCGACATCACCGACGCTGGCTAGATCGCACTTATATCAAGTAAGTACCAAGCTAGTCCAGTGAACGTCAGTTTTGAGAAATCTTGAAAACTCTTGATTGCAGACAACCGAATCCAACCGAATCCAAGAAAAAGGAGAAGAACTGGACTGAAGTTCAAACCTCAGGTCTTCAAAGTGGAGGGATTAGGCAGCCGGTTGAGGACGGCAAATTAAGCAAACATGACCATTCCTGCCTTCCTTGTCGGCAGCGTAACGTTCGTTTTAGGACTTTTCGACGTTATCAGTGTAAAAATCGATTAAAAACGCACCCAGAGGACCCAACGTTCCAAATATCAGCTATCGGGTGATTCCCCTTCAATGTTCCATGTACATTTCAATAAGATTGTCTGCGCGGCGCATTTAACGGCCTACACGAAAAATCCGAAGGAAAATAACCAGCTATGCGCAGTAATGAGAGGAATCTGCAAGCTGAAATGCCAATTATCCGTAGTTGATCATGCCTAAATTAACCTTGAAAATTGACACCGTTTAGAGTTTCAGTGAAAGCAGGTGGTCTTATTTGCAATCCACACAACATTTAAAACACACCAACAATTGTCAAGCCCCATAAAACCAAAGGACAGGGGTACTTACAGAGTAACCCTCACTGAACAGTTTGAAGTGGTGAATCAAAGCTTCCATGGAGTCCTTCATTTCCCTTCTTTTTGGTGGGCAGACTTTGACATCATCCACCTTGATTGCACCCGCAGGCATTTTATTCATGCATTGGAGGATAATTAGACAGGACTGGCGCATTTCTTCCATTCGGCAAACAAAACTGGGGGAGGGAGAGGGGCGATAAAATATGTGTAATTTGCGACAGAAAAGCAACAAGCTGGCACTAATGATGACAGCAACAGCAGCTGGAGTCGGCAAAAAAACTGGGAGAGGGAAGGAGGGGAGATAAAATTCGTGGAATCCGCGACAGAAGAGCTACAAGCTGGTACTGGTAGTGACAGCAACAGTAGCTGGAGTCGAGGTTTCATGATTAGGTTTGGACTACGGTGTTTTATTGCAGACTTTCATGGAGACACATATAGCCAAGTAGGTCTTTGCAGTGGCAAAATGGCTGTGAGTACGGTGTGCAGCCCAGACGGCTGTATATTGATGCTC